AATAAATAAAAATTGAAATTGTTTGCAATGAAAAATATTGAGCTTTGTCGGTTGTTGATTTTCAGAGACAAGAACAAATGAAATGAAAATAGAATGTGACCAAAATTTGAAATTGGTAAATTTATGTCTGGTCAATAATCTTGGAAAATGAAAAAAAAAATAGAAGCTCAGTTTTTACAACGGAATTTTCAAGATCATTTCCTTACCTTAAGGTAGTACATAACAAATATGAATTCTGTTTTAACGCATATCTTATAAAGTACAGTTGAAAAAAAAAGAATAATTTCACTATAATGTCAATAATCAAGGATCTTTGTAAGAAAAATAATAAGCTGCGACATGTTTTCACCATATTTTGAAGAAAAATTAGAGGCATCCCATATATTGGTCACTTTGGATGGTATTTATGCTATCTGCATGCCATGTGACTGTCTGTTATTAAATGCAAAGTAACTTTTGATCCATTTATAATAGAGACCTGATATTTGGATACATTTGTAGAGAGTCTCCATTCTCTTTGTACAATAAAGGTCAAGGTCATATTAAGAAGTCAAAGGTCAAATATAGTGATGAAATCTACTGAATCTTTTAATTTTTTTGCATTTGGTTTATTTAAAATCGCCAAAATATTCTGAGACCGCTGATTCAAATTTCCTCATTTTGACTTTTCAGAGTTCCATTTCAATTATTCTGTTGATTTTTTGTAAAATTTGAATCATTCATTTTCTTTAAAGAGGACTTAACGTGTGGCATATTTAATTTTCAATTTCCAGGGTATATATGTCCTATTTTTACATCACATTTTACTCAAATAAAACCAGTATCAAAATATTTTACTAAATTTTAGTACAAAAAGGTTGCCTTTATAAACAGCATCACATAGTTTGCAATAGATCAACTGGTTATTTTTAAATATTGCACAAACTCAAGTCGACTGTCTGATTTCACGATCTTCTTACAGGGGTCTGATAGGCCATATTTCGAACTATTTGGGCTAAAAATATATGACTGAATTTCTTTCATATTACATATAAAGAGATATTTTGTATCCTAGAACAAAGTATCAAAGTTTGAACAAAATTGAATTTGAGGAAATATTTTGCCTATCTATTGTGTACTATTGTGTACTACCTTAAATGTGCATTTGAAGGTTTCCAAAATTAAGAGAGTACTAGCCATAAATAGAAGTAATACTACTATCGAGTTTAGTTAAACATCCTGTATTTTTAGTGTACTAGTGTATGCCTGGGGCATTTGTGTTTTCCAAGCATACATGTATTTTTCATGTTGGATGTAAAAATGTGTCTAAAATGTAAAAAAAAAAAAAAAAAAAACCACGCATATAGACTGATAGGAAAGGCAGGTGTATATTGAGAATATAATTATATGAATTTGGAGGATGGTAATGATTGAAAATTCTTGCACTGTATCATTCTGACTAACTGTAGAATGCTGTTTAGAAATAATTGTTCCTCTTTCATTATTACTGGTTATAAAAGCTCTTTTCAACAAACCTTGCACTGCTGTGCGACAATACCTTCTTCTTCTTTTCAGTTGTTTTTTTTTCTATGCTCAAAATTTAGTACGGTAATCTCGTCGATTGATTTCATATTATATACACGTATGGTTTTCCATTCGAAGAACACATAATTATATCAGTTGGTAGTGGAATTATGCATTGGTTTGGCATACCTATTATTCAACTTACGTGTAAATCACTCAAGCTTTTGCCTTTAGGGATGTGACAGACTTTAAGAAATTAATTCACTCACATTTGTCTCTCAGTTGATTCTATACTCATGAGCATGTTCTAGAGCAATTTCTAAAATGAGGAAAGCTGTTAACAAATAAGTTGAAGATACAAGAATATCAACAATCTCGTTTAAAGTCAACATTACGCAAATTCCATGGTCGATACAATGACCATGTTTGCAAATACAGTATAACAGTCTGTGGTTAAGTTGCATGGATGTTGACTAACGTCTTTCATACGAATTGTCAGGCCTTCATTTTCACATGGAATTGTCTATGGATTTTTTTCATTTACCTAATCATGACAAGGGGCACACGGAGGGATTGTCCGGTCGACATTCCCAATGCTTAACTCCTCCATGGCACCTGATTTCTCCACTGTTTTCAGAGGTCCGTACTGACTCTGCTCAATATTTGTATTGCTTAAACGTACTTTTGAGAATGATCACTGTTCGTTATCTTCACATTTCATATTGAACAACATAATATTATGTTGTTTTTTTGGACCAGGCGTAAGGACAAATCTTTAGATTACTGGTCTGAAAAAAATTCGAATGATTGACCAGAGCTTCAGATCTGTGGCTCACTGGTCTGGAAAAAAAAATTATATGGACGACCGGAACTTCTGGTCGTTTTTCTTATATTTTCAGATTACCAATCTACAGATCCGCAGCTTTTAAGACAAGTAGAAAGTTAAAGGACATAACACGTTAATAATTTAGTTGATCTAAGCTCAAAACCTTTTTTCAGCATTCTAAAAATTACATATATAAGTAAACTTAGATAAAATTAAATTAAAACACTTCGCATAAACAAATGTATATTAAAAGTTGAAAGTAATTTTTTTTTAAGCTAACCTATAATTCATAAAAGATGTATGTAGCAAAACGTGCACCAAATCTTGAGAAAAAGCTGCAGAAGAAAGACTACTGTAACGTCAAATTGCCTATAAAATAAGGCTTTGTACATCATTCACCCCCCTGCATGATTTTTGAAAGCAGTTTGATTTAGACATCTAAAAATGGACACGGAAGCACTATGTAAAAGCCTATGTTTTTTTTCTGTAAAGTAACTTACTTATGTGAGACGAGAAAATTCGTTGCGTTTACAATTCTCAGACATGCGAAATGCGTAACAATTACTTCATCAGAAACCTATCTATAAATGATCTCTTTTTTTCATATTTAGAAAGCATATCTTTGACACCTCCGTGATCTATGATAAATCCCAAACTGAAAATACTCTTACCTAGCATTTTTGGACATAACATAACATAGGATGTTCCTACTTTTCTTCCTAAGTTATATCTTAAGAATAATCTTAGATATATCTTAGAAAAGTTTCGTGAACATGCCTGCAGCTCAACTGATTTTCAACTTTCCGATGCATTAAACTAAGGTTGAAAGAAAGAAGAGCCGAATAAATAATAAAGAATCTATTATTACGATAAATAAGAAATTGTGTTAGAAATGAAAGATTGTCTGTGTTATGGATTTTCAAAGTAATTGGGAAGAATGGCGAACTAATTAATATAATTGCTTTGCAGAAATAACCCCCTTTGTGGCTTTTAAAGCGGTATCTGTTATTGAGGTTATTTCTCCTTGCTCCAAAGGTAGTGCTGATAAACCTGGCAACCGTGTTTCATTGAGCTGCCTTTTAAAAGTTGCTATAGGAAAAAGAGTACCAAATCAGCGGATTTTTACATCATTTCCTGGTTAGACAAGATGGAGAAGAGTACTAAATGGGTAGGCGCTACCTGATTGGCTGAATTCAGGTATGTAAATATTTTCATTTTAAAGAAAAAAATATTAATGTTTGAAATAAATGATAGAATGAGGGAATATTACAGAAAGTATAGAAATACCAGGGGGGAACTAAAGGAGTGGGGTTGATTTTAGATGCAGAGTGCCATTTACTGCCGATTACTGTAAGTTGTAAACAACTGCAAATTTGACCTATAAACGCCACGGCACGGTATATTTTTTCCGTGTTTTTAATAAGTCCTTAGAATGAAGTTTCAAATGATACCAGAGATTTGTTTGAAAGGGAATTAGTAAAGTACTGGGAGGGCATAAGGTTTGTATAGAGTTCTATGGGAAATTAATTGGTACTCTTTTCCCAGAACCTTTTAACTCTGAAAATTCCCATGAATGGGGGGGGGGGGATGGTTTCCGTAGAAACAGTGATTAATCCTGTAACACTATCCGTTCACAAGTACATTGTTGGGGATTTTTTTTTTACTTGTTACCTTGAATTCTGTGTAATAGGCCTGTTTAAAGAACAAGTGATGAATATAAAATATTGTGAAAGGTCCTATGATTGCTGGATGGTGGAGTACTCATAAATCAAATTTGTATATTTTTTTTTTTACATAAAATACATCCTGTTTCTTTTTTTATACAGTGTCAGACTAACATGGACGGCTAAGACGCTTGTTATTCAGGAATGACTACAAAAGAGAGAATTTCATTTAAAAGTAAGTTTACATGTGTTTTAAATAATTTAACTTGAACACTGCGCCCTAGGCCTGTATACTGAATGGTACTTTGCGTCCTAGGTGCAGAACTGTAATGTTATGGTTTTATATTTTAGTCTTTGACCATAACGCTACAGATCCCGTAATGCAAATATTGTGCAATTCACGGTGCAAGATTTTTTGCGCACTTTGGGGATGTATTTCGCCACTTTTCAGCGTTGGTTAATCAATTTCCTTTCATTCCCTAATTCTAGACATATTCAATAACCAATAAGTCTTCTCTACAGACCAATAAACTCGCTTGTTGTGAATTTGTTGTCGGATGGCATAAAATTCACAACAAGCGAGTTTATTTAAGGTTAGAAAATTAGGTCCTAATATGGGTAGAATACCTTGATTTTTCTTAAGGAAAATAATTTACTCTTTGAGGACTTCATATCTTTCCATCAAGTATTTTTGCCAAGTAGTTTTGTTTTCCTTGAAAGATAAACCAGTTCTTCCAGAAAATGAAATGTTTTCATTTTTCAAAGGTAGAGAAAGACAGATTGTTAGGCTTGTCAGTCCTAATGGAGCAAAGGGAATTAAGAAAACAAAAATTCAGGAACAACAATATTATCTATGAAGGGCGGAGAGGTGATGCACATGTATGTCTAAATGACGACTGCACAGGTGCTAAATTTTTCATGATTATGTCTCGGCCGTTACGCACGAGATAAGGATATATGACAGGACTTAACCCTTACCAAGGTACATTTTAAATGCGATATTTATTATGTTAATCAAATTTTTGTTTTTGTGGTACTTCATACAGGATGCACGGTTTGAAAAGGAAGAAAAAAGGATTCTTTTAAATGATCCCGGTTTAGTGGAGCAAAGGCTGAATCATCTTGAGCAAGAATTACAGATGCTGAAGATTGAAAATCAGAAGCTTAAGGCTTCGCAATCAGGTGTGAGAAAATTCGACAATACCTATAATGTATAAATTGGATAAATATATTAAAACTGAGAAGTAAAAGCATTGCAATTTTCTTTTTTATATTTATAAAGCAATACGCTTCAGTATATTTATAAAGATTTTTCTCACGTCAAAAAATGAAACTGAATGAAGAAACTGTTGTACATACATGTACTTAATGTAAAGACTAGCTTTTACCCAAAGCAGTTAATGGTTTAATATACAGTGTATAGTAGATGTAGATATTTTATTTTAGACTTATTTTGTGCCTTGAAATTTTTAGTAGCCATAATGGCATAATTATGACTTTACATAATTATATTCACAGGGAACCAGTTTTTAAATTATTATGCATATTAAATTTTACATGTACTACATATATCAGATTGTATTTAGCAGGAAATAGTGCTGTTTACACACGTTGGGGACGAAAGGAATGTCCATCTAACGTATCAGAGATAATATATTCTGGTAATATAACTTTTCTACATCATAACCAAACAATAATACAATGTAATAAATTAATCAAAATAAGATATTATGGTTACTCTATCTCAGTCTATAACTGACCATGTAATTTCAGGATTTGCCGCAGGCGGATGGTGGAATGATAAAGGAAGTCCAACCAACTATCTCTGTCTTCCACCAGATCCCATACCAAGTGGAAAATCAGTAACAACATCTTGCAATCATCTCTTTGGTGTGGAATATGAATCGGGATTCTGGGGACCTCATTCCCATAACGAAGATGCTCCATGCGCAGTGTGCTCGAGCACTTCTGGGTCCAAAATGCTGATGAGACCAGGAAGAGACACATGCTATCAAGGTTGGACAAAGCAATATGACGGTTATCTTGGGACTAACGAACTTCATTACGTAGGGGCAACAGAATATGTTTGTGTTGATCACAGTCCATCATATCTTAATGCAGGAGAGCGTTCAACCGACGGAGCTTTATTTCATCCGGTTACCTACCAATGTGGGGCGTTACAGTGCCCGCCATATACTGGTGACGAAGTCGTCAATTGTGTTGTCTGTACAAAATAAAGCAATTAAAATGAAAGTGTGATCTAAGGAGCCGACTGGGGTTTTATTGTGTGAAAACTACTATAGAGAAACTCTTTAATTTCATTCCATATGTACCTTATATTGACTTCAGTATATATGCCAAGGTTAGGGATAATCTACCCTCTGGTTATTTTTTAGGGACCATCTCAAAATACAGGTACATTTACTATAGGATTATATAGGAAAATACCATTTTTTTTCGCACTTCGGAGCAAATTATACAAATGCTAATATAGACTTTTTGCTCAAATTATATTATTTGATGGGTAATACTATATTGTACATTTTGTGCAAGAAACACAAAATTCTACCGTCTTGTTTCAAGAGGGGGCATCTCAAAATGTCAAATTTCATATTTCCCTGTTTTTATGGAGTACAACAAAACATCACAGATACCACATATTTACATAAAAAAAATAATAAAAATGATTGTGAGATTCTCAATTTCCTATGTTTAAAATTTCAAGAGCATCTATTTTATACTTTTTATTTTATGACATAATTAATGACCCCACTTAAAAAACTTCGATTATTCATAACGTCAAAACACACTATTACGACGTCTATCTACCCATTATTTGAAAAATCGTTTAAAAAATAAGTTATTTAAAAATGTAATTAGATTGTTTAACCTGAGATTTCCTAATTTTGTTAATTTATATAAATTATGTAAAAAAAAAAGTTGCTTTAGAAGAGTAAATACGCTTTAATTATTTTACTATGCTGCGCGAAGTATTGCGCAATGAAAACCCCAGTCGGCCCCCTTAATATAAAACAAAATTAGTAGGACATAATAATGCAAACACGCGTGTTTACGACGTGTCCAGACATCATGTAAAATAATAAGTATTTTATTTTTACTTTAATCTTGCATTTTATCTTCTTTCTTACACAGTTCTTTACGACCAAATTCTCATATCTATCAAGTCCTGTTCATTTTTTTCATATAACGGGAACAGCTTTGACAGCCTTTAATCTCAAATTAAAAATGCTTCATATTGAAAATGAAAAGGAACTTTTGAGGAAGAAATCTCCAAGCAAACCTACGTCCACGTAATGCAGAAAAGAATGTTTTCTTTAGAATAATAATGTGGAGAAATGATGTTGTTTTGTCGCGGGTGTCTCCATCTGTCTTGTTTGTCAAAACAAAATCATACCCAGTTAAAAACTTTGGAACTCTAGAGGGATGATTTCAAGCTTAAGCATAGTATTTTTGCTCTTTAACCTATAGATTTATCACTTCAATGAGGCAAGGTTTAAGGTCCATTATGAAATATTGAAATAATTTCAGGTTAATAACGTACAAAACAAATGCTACGCTTTAATAGGAATTTTGATGTGGAATCACCAATACATGTAAGAGTACATGTATCACAAAGATATACTGAAATCGTATCTGTGCTAATATATTCTTGGAAATAGTTGACCGTAAATATAATTTTAAAGTTTGATTGTACATGTAAATACCCGTGACCCAAAATATGTATTTTAACGAATTCAGCGATAATTTAGGTACTTGGGAGGCAGTGACATTGTTACATGTATGAAAAACATGATATTGGTTTCTCTTTTCTTCATATATATTTGCTACTCCAGATATCACAGTTGAATACATGAAGCAAAATACTTTTATTTTCGGATCTATAATATGTCCCAAGGTATCAAGGACATAACTTTTTGCCTTCTTAAATATGGGCTTTCAAACTAGGGTCAATAGATCATTTTTCCCCAAAACATAATGGTTATGTTTAATGAAATTTTCTAGAAAAATAGGCCAAATTAATTTTTTTAATATCGTTTAAAATGTGCTGAAGGTACGGAAGCTGGTAGATGCCAGGTAGAAAAATATTTTATCTGGCGCCGCCAGATAATTATCTATCAGTTATTTATGTGGCGGCCGCCGTATAATTATTTGGCAGCCGCCAGAAACTTATCTGGCGGCCGATAAGAAATTTCTCGCGGCCGCCAGTTATTTATGTGGCAGCCGCCAGATAATTATTTGGCGGCCGCCAGAAAAAATATTTTTTCTACCGGATTCTGTATGAAAGCGCTCATGTGAGACAGTATCTTTTTTATAATATGTACAATGTTTTTTTTTATTAGACCTGATCATTAAGACTTCGTTCTCTACAATTCAATTACATGTTAGAATTAATGTGTTAAAGACAATCTTGGAAATGTTTATAAATATGATACTTTCAAAGAAAACTACAGGCACTATGGTTACGAATTATTAACTAACGATGAATTCAGTCTTCAGCAATTCTGAATAATCAAAAATATTTCTGAAAAGAAATATTTTTTCGGTGTCATTTTATTTAGTTTCATTTACAGGATTAACCCAATATTGAATTTACAGCTGTAATCATTTATGAAGGTTTAACAGTTACTATACCTTAACTTTTCTAGGATTATGTAATGTTCATTGTAAAGTTTAAAAGATACTTGAAATGGGAATATTGATGGAAAATTGTGAGAGCTATTCTAAAACCCACGAAAGCGTGTACACCTGTCATAAAATTTTGGTTTCTGTAGTTTGGTATTCTGGGTTCAATTTAAACACTTACTTCACTTTGGTTTAGGGAAGAGGTCACTTCTTAGATTCTATGAATAAATATAGGGCTGCCCATCCCTAACAAAAAAATACTATAGTTAACTATAGTTTACTATAGTTAACTATAGTGATAACTTTGACACTATGAAAACTTTGATTTACTATAGTGATAACTTTGAAAACTTTGATTTACTATGGTGAAAACTTTAGTTAACTATAGTGATAACTATGACACTATAGTGATCACTTTGAAAACTTTGATTTACTATAGTGATCACTTTGACACTATAGTGATCACATTGAAAACTTTGATTTACTATAGTGATAACTTTGACAATTTGATTTACTATAGTTAACTATAGTTGACTATAGTAAACTATAGTTAACTATGGTAAACTATAGTTAACTATAGTATTTTTTTTTAGAGATGTTTTCTGATTAGAATTATTTGAGTTGTGTTTTCTTTATCCCTTAGCCATCAGATAACGCAAAAAAAGACGTAAAGATGGATAATAAATATATTCGATCAAAATATGAAGATTCTTTTATTACATGTTTTACTTAAGTTAAATGCTTTTCCCCAATTTTGGTTTTCCATCGACTGTCTAACACCGAACAACAACATCAACATTGTTACGCTGCTAAAACTAGTGCGTAAATGGAAATAAAGGCCAAGATTTTTTTTAAACGTGACATGTTTTACTCTATTTGAATGTTTTATTATAATTCAATGATAAATAATTCTCATGAAATATGGAGATAACAAACAGTATTCAAGCGCAAAGTCCATTAACAAAATACAAATCGGGAGCAGAGCAAACACGGACCTCCAAAACATCAGAGGTCGGATCAGGTGTCATGGAGGAGTCAGCATCCCCTGCCGACCGGTCACACCGGCCGTGAGCTCTTTGTCATGATCGGGAAATAACGGGAAAATCCGTCGACAGTTCATTGTGTAAATAATGGCCTAACAATTAGTATGGAAAACGTCAGTCACCATATGACTTAATGATAGATTGTATTTGCTGACAAGGTCATTGTATCGACCATAGAACTTACGGAATGATGACCTTAAACGAGAATGTTGATATTCTTGTTACAGCAACTTGTGTGTCAATAATCTTTTATGTTAAGATCACTGGGATATATCATGTTGAAATATAAATTGAAATAACTATTGTTAATTGATAATACGTCGTCGATATATCTAAATGTCGAGTTGAAGGCCACAGCAAGAGATTTCTTTTTTCTCATGTATAAGATTTTGAATAAATTCTGCTTCATATGAATACTAAAATAGGTCTGCTAACAACATCTATCTTCCATGTCTACAGTTGCACTCATTTTGTAAGATATTTCTTTACAAGATTTACAAGGTTATTGGAACACAAATTGAGCAATCATGATTTTTTTTTGGGGGGGGGGGGGCTCCAGAGAAAGAAGCACGTGTATTTTAATTTAAAGGATACGGTTATCAAGGTCACCACAGGTAATAAATTTTGATACGTCAAAGTTTGGAATCAATTATTACATGTAGTATTTCATGTTAACGTGGAATGTGATAAATACGAGGGTTGTTCGGAAAGTTCGTGGACTAGCGCCATAAAATTAAAACCGCTGAAGATACATCTATGAATTTTTTAACGTTTAATTAGCATCATCTTATTTGTTTATATAATAAGCTATACATCATTAGTTTTATTTTTTAATAAATTGTTGATGTTTTTGAAAGCAATGGTATGTCCAGGCGGCGCAACCTTGAAGATTACGTTTTTTCTACCTAGGGGTAACTGAGAAAAAAACTCATTTTTTTGATATGAGCATTTGTCATTCAAAAATCCCGTTAATTCACTCATGTGGTATGACACAAATGTACCGTAAAATTTGCAATTTTTTCCCCATTCTGTAAGTTCTATGAAATTTTATCGTAAAATTTATGAAATGTCCAAACAATTATGGGGTTGTAATGACGTCAGAAAGGGGGATGGGTTTCTTTTTCCAACATTCTATGAAGTTTCGCCCTAAGGAAAAACTGGCATAGATCTAGGAAATATTTAAATGGGCTACTGAAAAATAAAATGCATTTAGAATACTTGTTTTCAAACGCCGAAAAAGATTAGAGAGACGACAGATGTAAAAGTTAATGTCGATTTGTAGTAAGGGTGTTCAAAGTTTGTCATGTCGAAAAGTTGACGTTGATCATGTGTGATAGATGTTGAACTCCGACAAGCAAATATGCTGTTATAATCAAGTGAAGATCTTTCAGATCTATCTACAATATTATATGCATTGAAACCAGCTGTTTATGACAATGTAAAATCATATAAACAAGACGGGTTTAAATCTTTACTTAACTCCACGGAAACTCATCAAGATAAGTGTATGAGGTAGAGAATGCGGACATTGAAAAACTATGACGTCATGA